TATTGTACGCTGAGAGGTTCACACATAGGTCCCACGCACACACACAAATATAGCCACGTTTCCCACTTACGACGCACCACGTTCCGCCGAGTGAAGTGGTGTCCACTAAGCGCCATTACGCTGATCCGACGTGGACATTGAATGTGCCGTTTTCCGCCCACATTTCTGTTCCCTTGCGTCGCAGCCTATCCAGGCTGGATTCGTACCAAAGCTCTCGACTTGCTTGCTCGGGGCTGTGTTGCTCTGGTCGGGCCGATTCCTGGGGCCGTAGATAAAGGCATATCTCTTGGGAACATCGGGCTCCCTTTCATGCCGCCTCTTGTTCTCCTCGGTGTGGCCGCGGTATCGTTTGTCGCTGACGACCCATTCCCGGCTTGCATCGTAGGCCACGAGCTGGGTTGACGATTCCCGTTCCCAGTCTCCGCGTTAGTCCCGATCTCCTGCTGCTTCCAGGGCATTTCCGTGTGAACTGAGATCCGCGCCCCTACACGTAGATTTGAATCGCGGCACACCTATCACAAATTACATTCATTATCTCTAGATTACAAATTATCTGCATCTGGCACACAATCGAGATGATAAGTCCCTATGCTATTTTACGGTTCGAACAACATGGACATTGTATTCACCTTTCATACTTAAGGTAAATGTATTAATAATAAATCCAAAATGCGTTAAAAAAAACCAAGGTTGAAGGACAGATCGAATTCAGCTACATAATAATCGGCAACAACGAAGTGGTCCGATTTATTTATGCTAGAAAAATTCTTCCCGTGTTGTGTGGGGATTTCCTATAAGTGCACTCTACAGACGATAAAGCTTATATCATTACGCTTCACTTCCTCCTCATGCACTAGTAATATAAAAAGTCAAACACTTATGGAAGTCTAACCCAACTCGTCAGTAGTTTGCTCATGAACATCGGTCATATACCATACTTAAAGCCGCTGTTCCGCTATCCTCATTGCATCTGCGATTCCAACATGTTACTTAATGGCAACGACAGTTGCTTTCATTTCCTAAGATTTACATAGTTGCTAAATCGGAATCGTATTCTGATAACAACTTAAACAACATTCGTATGAGCACACAGGCATTTGCAGACCGGTCGACACACTACGGCATGCATTTCAAAAAAATTATAGAAAGAAGGATGCGTCAGGTATAAGAAGGCAGGTTCATAATTTAAAGGAAAATGAAAATTAATACCCCGAAAATATTAGCAGAAGGAAGTAACATACAAGCTTGTTTCCAGTCGAAGGTGCTGAGGCTAGTAAAGCCACAACTATGTAAGTCAAAAATGAACACATGAATTACAGGCGTCAATAAATCAAAATATTTCATCAACAAGGCTATGTGATTAGCCCGACTTGCTTGGACTCGGGGGGAATGGCGTGATACGTCTGCTTACTTGTGTTAGTCTGGGGCCAGGGTAGAGAGAACGTTTGCACACAATTCTTTTGTTCACACGACTCCGGGTTATGGAACCGAATTACGATTGCCTTTGTTGTCGACAGCAGACGGCATCTGACAGCTCTCGTGTGATGTCCTGGCACACAGTAGATCAGGTTGGAATGAATCTTTTATTTTGTGGTTAATAGCCATTAATTGTGACAATACTGGGCTCGTCAAATTCTTCCTCACAACACTTTATAACCAAGCGAGATAATGCTCTCGAGCTCTTACAGCCAGCCGCCTGCTCGTTTTTCCAATATACCTTGCTCGACACGAGCAAGAGAAATTATGCACACAAAGGAAAGTTACGATTGGAGTATCCTGTTTGAGCTGCTGGTGCACAATTGATTTTGAAGCTTACTCGTAAGTCGGCCGCAAAGTACGTTTTGGCACTAGCTACGGCAAGCTTTCGGGTGGTTCGCTGCGCTATCGCGTTACCTTTGAACGGTTGCGATAAGTATATTAGGCGCTTCTCTGCGGAAGCGGATTTCCTCTTCGGTACTTGCGGTTCCATGTGCTTCTGGGTAAAATTTTCTCGCTATCCATTACATTCGAACACCCTTTGGATGAAACTTAGCTCCGCAGAAAGCGTATCCTCTATGCACATTTGTCTCGCTCTCTCAGTGAGACAACGAACTAGGTTATGCTTCTGGCTGACTGGAACGAAACTATGGAAGTGGATGCATTGCCCATTCCAAGTTCCTTTTCTGTGCACTCTCCTCCGCATTGGCCCGTCTGCTGCCCTATTAATCTGGACGTGTAGAAAGGACTAGGAGTCGTCACTTTCTACTGCGAGAGTAAACGTTATGTTGTTATGCGCGGAGTTAAAGTGGGTCAGCAGATCTTCAATACACATCTCATCGTCCGCAACACAAAAGATGTCATCTGCATATAGACCATAATAAACCAAACTGTTGATGGACTCCTTCAACTGGTTGCTCTCCAATTCACTCATGAACACATCTGCGAGTAACGGGCCTAACGGCGAACCCATGACAACCCCATCTGTTTGTCGGTACAGTGATCCATTAAACTGAAACTGGATGTTTCTCGTGAATGCCAGGAAGTTAGCTTAATCAATCTGGTTGGATCCCGACGATGATATTGTGCAATTGGATGAACTGACATAGATGGTCTGCAACCTCTTCCAGTGGAATATTGGCGAAAAGGGACACCACAATTAATGAAAACATTTTCCGCCTGGTTAGTTCAGGGTGTCTCACTGAGTCTAGAAACTCAAGTGTCCTTGAGACTGTACATTGCAATGGCATTTCGGGCTGGTTCCAGCCGTCTGACGAGCCACTTGGCCGTCGAATGATAAGGCGAGTTGCACATATCTAGCATTGGTCTTACTTGTGGCCCTTCGTTATGCACATTGGGCAGGTCGCAAATTCTGGGAATCACCGTTCTCAGTTGTCTGCGTCTTGTCAGTCGCGTCAATTACTCTTCGAAAATTTGATCCATCATTATATATGGCATACGTATTTCTGATATAGTCTGACTTATTCACTAGAACGACCCCGGCTCCTTTATCCGGTCTAGACAACAGTAGGTACTTGTTATTTGTGGGCGTCTAGATGTTCTTTCTTCAAAATTTGCTTGGCATATGGTTTAGAACTGGCATTCGTAACAGATGTTGACAAGTATTGACTAATACTGTTCAGCTGCCAAAGCTGACGACGGCGTAACTAGCGTAGTTCAGTCCGTTGCCTCACTGAGAGAGCGAGACCAATATGCACAGAAGATACACTTTCTTATGAGCTAAGATTCATCAGAATTGCGTGAGAACGTAATGGATACCTAGAAAAATTCATCCAGAAGCACATGGAACCGCATGTACCGAAGAGGAAATCCGCTTCCGCAGAGAAGCGCCTAATATACTTATCGCTACCGTTCAAAGGTAACGCGATAGCGCAGCGAACCACCCGAAAGCTTGTCGTAGCTAGTGCCAAAACGTACTTTGCGGCCGACTTACGACTAAGCTTCAAAATCAATTGTGCACCAGCAGCTCAAACAGGATACTCCAGTCGCAACTTTCCTTTGTGTGCACAATTTCTCTTGCTCGTGTCGAGCAAGGTATATTGGAAAAACGAGCAGGCGGCTGTCTGTAAGAGCTCGAGAGCATTATCTCGCTTGGTTATAAAGTGTTGTGAGGAAGAATTTGACGAGCCCAGTATTGTCACAATTAATGGCTATTAACCACAAAATAAAAGATTCATTCCAACCTGATCTACTGTGTGCCAGGACATCACACGAGAGCTGTCAGATGCCGTCTGCTGTCGACAACAAAGGCAATCGTAATTCGGTTCCATAACCCGGAGTCGTGTGAACAAAAGAATTGTGTGCAAACGTTCTCTCTACCCTGGCCCCAGACTAACACAAGTAAGCAGACGTATCACGCCATTCCCCCCGAGTCCAAGCAAGTCGGGCTAATCACATAGCTTTGTTGATGAAATATTTTGATTTATTGACGCCTGTAATTCATGTGTTCATTTTTGACTTACATAGTTGTGATTATACTAGCCTGGGGAGGATCCACTTAAAACAAGCTTGTATGCTACGTCCTACTTAGAACTCAATTTTGGGATCTAATTACTAAATTTTGCTTCATGCCTGCTGCTGCTGACTCAAGTTGAACCAATGCAGCGGAACTTGCTGTGCAGGTACTAGTTTGCACAGAGCTTCATAGAACATAACTGCGTGTAATATTCATCACAGGGACCCATCTTACTTGAAGCGCCGTAGGTGTAAAGCTTTCATCACATATCCAAGTAAACTTAACTTACTACATAAACTGCCCTTTGTGCCAGATTTTCTGAGGTGGCAAACTATTTGCGACACCATGGCGCTTCTTAGATTGGTAACAAAGGCACGCTGTTTCATTGTTCATTTGGCTCATTCTCACTAGCTTTTTATGTTTTTCTAATTTGCTATTTTAATATTGCATTAGGGCGACATTCTACATGTCTGTTTACTTCTGCGGTTTCCACTGAAGTATCGTACGCGCTCCTCTCGACATTCCATCTCAGTCATCCATCGATCGGTAACCGGAAATGCGTTGCTTGGATACAGAAAACGTAAGCTTGGCCTCGTCTGTTGAAATGATGACGGTACAAACTAGGTGTACAGCTACAACTTTTACGTCTGCGCACCGTCTTCACGTGGACTACCATTTGTAACTGAGCCAAAAATTACTCTCCAGTGTAGTTCCCCACGTAGCCTAGGTAAAAATTTTGATCATAAAACTGAGGTTCTGCTGGTTTGTTAAAGTCGTTCCAAAGAAAAGTACTCTGACTGCAGATAATTATCGTAACATTTGCACAAATCAATTTACCCGAAATAACAGCAACTAGTAATATTTCTTTGTTATCTGAAAGAACGAATGATACCCCGATGGATGAAGTACGCAAACTGAACGATTTAACTGGTGCGGACACTTTGATGAACCCACTTATTTTTAGTCCACACTGTTTTATCCTTTTATACTCGGATTCATTTGCCTAAAGGTTATTTTTCCGCTCTTACATATGCCTTCGCTGGTACAGAAAAATGACCCAAGTCATGTATTACTGCGAAGATCCGACTGCATCTCGCCAATACTTATCCAAAGACCAACCAAGCGGTCGCTTGATGGATCCGATTCAGACGTTGGCAACGAATCGGATGGCTCGTCTTCGTTGGAAGAGTTGGACAACGATGTGTCTCGATCGACTAGTTGGTCAATCAACGATCAGGGGTCTCAGGAACTAAAACCGTTGTCACCACTGGCATGCAACCGCAGTTGCAGATCGGATTTTGAGCAACCTGCTGCAAAGAAGGAACCATCGAAGCTTTCCGAACCGAGTGGGAATTCCGTGCATAGTAACCATGGCAGCGATATTGATGATGATTCCTCCGTAAAAGAGAGGTTTATTGAAAAACACATTCCCGTACCTAATTCTGGCAAGCTAAACGGTCTTCCTTCTTTGGATGCTTCTTCTTCTTTTGTAAGTGGGCTTATTTTCCGTGATAGTTTCCACCCACCTTTGTCCAATGAGCTTTTGACCCAAGGTGAAATGTCAACGGCGTCACGTAAGGTGAGTGAAACCCAGTTGGCTGAACCAAATCACCCGGTCACACCTGCAATGGACAACACTGCGACTGTGGACAGCTCTACAGTGATTGGTCAACTCAAGGCCAATATTAGTAATTCTGTCACTGGGCCGACCAGCGAAGCGGAGAAAACACATGTAACGGTTGCCGCACCAGGGAATACGATCGAAACGCGCGCAAGCACACTTCTGCTGCAACCTGGTTCGATTACTACCCCATTGGCCTCAACGACAGAAACAGCTGTCGTGGGCTGTGCAATGCTTGGGTCCAGTGTGACTTTTTATGAACGCCCGGAATATCTGGATGCGCAGAAACGTCGCACATCACACAACACCAGCGATCGCTTTCGACAGTACAACACAACCGATAGTAAGTTGCTTTATTCGTTATTTTGAGCCAGCACTGTTGGATTCATTTCGTGTGGAAACTTTTTTCGATGTAAAGTCTCAGCTTTGAAAATTAAAAATGCTAGTTTTCTATGCTCACAGAAAAATCATGTTATAGCGTAAATAGTTTCAGTTGAGTTCGCTGCTTCGTTTGCACACACGAAGCAGCACACAAGGACACCGGTACAAACTTGTCGTACCACGTTTGAACCGGGTCGCTCACCAACTGCTCCGAGAAGAGAGTGATGAATATTTGGAACAACCTGACTGCAAAGCAAAGTCGGTGTCGAAGAAACTCCTAGACTCGCACTTTGCCGGCTTGAAATTTCGAGAATAATCACCACAATAATAGATAGATTTGCTTAAACTATATTAGATGTAGCTAAACACAGGCAACATTACTCGCTGCATTTCCTCAGTATTAAATATTCAGCTGGTGTATCGAAGGAAATAGATTCTTAAAGAAACGCCGTAGTCAGACAATGCACTTTCTGTGTTATATGATAGCAATCTTCTAGATGCTCTTTCTCGATCTTTACCGCGTTACCGCAAATGTGGCCGTTGTTGTCATATCAATAGAACCTGTTAGTGTGTAAATGCGGCAAACACAAATGCACATGAAACTTGGCGTGATTGATATGTTCAAGGGGCTTCCGCGTACTCGAATACTGGACTCATAAGTATAAAAGACGGTGCTTGGGCGAAACATTGAATATGACGTATAATAATTAGTAAAACGTTCCCTGAATTCCTGCAGCTTATTGACTCGCGTTGTCAAGAATAAAATTGCGTATAGCTTAAGTTAGTTAGTTTTCTCCTCGTATTAAAAACTAAGGATTGAATGCGTTACGAAAGAAGTATTTTGGTTACTTTTTCAATATGCAATATATATATATATATATATCGTAGTTAACGAGAGTTGATGCTTTTGAAATCGGGGGTTCACGCAAACTTGCGCCTCTTGTTTTCACTGCAATCATTCTTGTGCCATTTCTTCGACTATTGCAAGCCACTAGCATACATTAATTTCGGGTCCACATCCGGGAGTACGCACGGGACTAGCGATGGCTTGGTGAGATGTCGTTAATTTGTCGGGTGGACTCCACTTGACCACTTCCACTGCCGTCCTGCGCATAAGATTAGGACGTAACGTGTTAAAGGCCCGCTAGGCTTTCACAGAAGGTAGCGAAACTATCACTATTGACGTGACAAAACAAGCTCACGAACAGATAGATCCATCTTGCTGAAGACGCGAGGCTTGACATTTGCATTACCTATTGCGTGTTGCCAACGCACACGGGCACTCCTCCTCAAAAGCCTGTCGGTGTCATCTATACAGATCGTCCGGAATTCGCATTCGTGCAGCAGTATCACGCGAACACTGGCGTTGTAATCCGTGCTTTGTAACGCGAGCAAAATGTCGCAACTGCATGTCATTAAATATTAAAAATGTATGCAATGTTGGGTTTTGTAGTTCTGGTTGTGTGCTTGGACTGCAGCCAATTTGGATCGCACAAAATAATACGAAGTAAGTGTTGGTCATTCAGACAAGTTAAAGCATGGCTACAGATCCATATGACGATTTACTTTGCTATACGACTGGTTCAGTCCTAGTTTGGGCCCTTCAGATGGAGAGAGAATACTCGGGGCTCCAACCCGGGATGAAGATCTACTCAGTGGGTGCCGTAACCGTCTCACTGATCAAATACATCTGCAGCCTTTGCCACAGTGGTAAAGGATCTCAAGTTTTCCCTGTAATCTGAGGGTGCGGGTTCGAGTTTGCGTAAGGGATCGGGCGACCCTCACAATATCCGTCGCCCACGCGCAACTGTTTGTGATTGCGTGACAGATAAGCGTCGCTACCGCGTATCGGCGTACTGTTGATAACCTACTGATTTAGAGTACCGGTTGTCTTAATGGAATTCCGCAGGTGATCCACAGCACCATGCGTGTGAGTCGGATAACAACGAAAACTTCCGCACCTTAGGTATCGTCTCGCTGATCGGAATAACTGATATATAGCTGTAAGTCTAAATGAATTTAGCTTATTACCCAGAACAGGAGAGTAAACTTTCATAGCGCTTTGATCAGATTACTTGGAAATGAGCCCACTAGAAGCCAGATTCAGCCCGTGATGTTGTATCAGTGGAACGCCAACACAGCTGTCTAGTACGGGTTTTAAACATCTAGCGATTAGCTGGTCGCGTAGGTTTATCAGGGTGAAAAGCACGGTCAGCAAAATTTGCGGCAGTGCGATTGTATGAACACTGGTGGGCCCACCGATATACTTACAAGATCACAATTGGAACTTCGCCTCTTTCGAATTTATGAGCCACTGTTTTCTTGCGCTATACTGTATCCAGGCAAACGCTGATCACATCTCGTTGCATAAGTTAACTAAGGTTTCACGCTGTTGTTTCAAATGTCCCTATGGTGGTGTGGAAACAGTCCAGGTTTGGAGAGTCTCCCACGGCTAGTGCACTCAAGTGAAGATGATGTTTCCACAGTATTCCGGCCCGCTATCTTGTGTGACTAAATTTAACCCATATCCTATCAGGTGGATTTGTTCCTTCGTTTTAAGAGAGGCAAAATGTGGCTGGGGTTTTCGGATTTCCAGTCCCCCAGGGGCCGCAATATTAAACACTGTACACGCTCATTGGATTTGATCTAATCTGCTATGGCATACGTAATAGCATTTAGCGTTCGTTGATTTCGTTCATTCTAAAGTCACGATTGTGGAAAGAATGTGCTTTCGCCAGCACTGCCATGCCTGGCTTGATTACCCCACTGACCGTAGTACAAACAAACCAGCCATGCAGCAGAAACTACACACGAATATACACGCTTGCTTTGGCGCCAGGTAGCAGAGCCTTGTTTAAACAAACCATCATACACTCTCAAAAAACAACGCCACATGATGTTTAAGAATATATATAACAATATTTTTCTCAATATATCAAGATGCGGTTCGTTCGATGGGATCTGATCAATATACAAATGTTGAGGCGAAAAATAGCTCTACATAAATTGATGCATCATTCGAAAAGAGTAGAACTGATAGCATGTGCCCATGGCAATTGATAAAGCGCTCACAGCAGCAGAAAAAGTAAAATTTGGACTCATGATGACAATAAAGGATAACAATGGCACTTCCACGTGAATGATACGAGTCGAATTTGGGTCAGTGACTGAGTGGTTTTTGAGGATAACTCCTGCGTCATATTAAGTCATATTTGCAACGAAGATGTTGGACTTCGCGTCTTAGACAGTACGAATCATCCCCTTCATAAGCTAACACCTCTGCGCCGGCTGAGATAGTTTGCTCGAATCCTACGAATACTATGCCCGCGATTGGCATGTTGCGTTGTATTCGCTTGAATGGGACGCAATGGTACATATGTGGCGATGTCGGCCTACTGCTAAGGGAACGCGAAATCTTTAACTTCCTACTGAACTATTCCTACCTCACGCTTATTTCGGGCTGTGACTCCAAGTCCGATGGCAGCCGCTCGCTCGAAACACTTGAGAACATGGCGTAAAATCGGGAGCAGTGAACTATTTGCGTGAGTTGATATTCCGATCTAAAGCAACAAACACCACAGTGGCTCCCTACATATGCGTAATATTGTTATTAATACATGGTTAGCAGCAGCCGATTCTTTAGTTGCGTATCACCGCATCCTCCATTAGTGCAGCCACAGGACACCAGCCTCTACACAGTGACATAGATGGCTTGCGTTGCAACACAAATAGCTCCATCCACACACCCCATATGCAGTGTAAACCAGTAGGAATTCGACCGGGAGGCATGTGGATATGAGCCACGTTCCCTCAACAGAGCAGAACTACACTTCTTCAATGTGCGCAACAGCAGCATTCTTCTCTATCTATATAGGGAGTCATGAGTACCAAACATAAACAATGCGATGGCTGGGCCGTAGTCCGCTCCACACTGGATGGGAACACTATTTGAGCTTAGAATGGCCACGAGGACTCAGCAAAAGCACAGAACTTAACAAATCAATGTGAGTGGAATTACTTGTATTCGGAGCAAAAAAGCGGGTTTAAGTGTAAGTCGGTTTAACCCAACTGTGGTGAAGAAGCGGCGTGGATGCAGCATCAACCTCATCATGTGATATTGTATACATATATATATACATATAAATGTATATATATATATATATATAGTGCTGCGCGCTTCGCCCCATGTAGCTGGTTCACGCCACATTTTGTGCATCTTTCGTTAAAAGCATGCGGACAGCTGTTGACTAATGCACCGAAAAGCATCTTGGTTAAGACACTTCCCAATAATTCAAAATTTTGTTGAAAATCGAGTAAACGAAAGTGGTGTCGAGTTACGGGTTTATTTTAACGCACGCGTTTGAGTAAATTGCGACATGCATTTTCGAGCGGGATTCAAATGCTCTTTAAATTAAGTCCCTTGCCGTTAGGTCACGGAGATCTTACTGGAAGCAGAAAGCTGATTGATGTTGCGCTCTTAAGCACGACAGTCCGCAGTTTGTTTTGTACATATCTGTATTCACCAGCTAGAGAGATAGCGGGACTGCGGGCTGAATCCATAATGTTGATTTTGTTACATCTTAGTTGTTTTGAGTTCCAGTTCGCACGGATGAAATGCTGTTCACTGATAGTAACCCAGGCGCAGAATATCCGTATGAATTCGGATCGGTATGGCTTAGGTGACTTACCCGTCCGACGTTGTACACACTAGCCGAGACAGGAGACGAAACACGTAACTTCGCACGACTGAACCACGACCCAGCATGAAAGACTGTCCGATGGCAAGAGTTCGTTTGCCGACTCAGTACAAGGCAACTTATACAGTCTAGACATTCATATTTGTAGCTCAACACTATAGCGACGCAATCCATAAGCTCTGAATAAAGTTGGATGTTGGTAAGCCTCTTGAGTTGCCATGTAGTGTTACTGTCCTGAAGCAAACTCAGCTGATGTCCGTGTAGT